AACTGTGGTTGGCCATGTGGTAGTGTCCAGCGCCTTAACTGCCATGCCACTTGCTGGTCCCAGTGTCTGGATTATTGAGATTTGCTGAAAGAGTGAAATAGACTTTAGATTTTGAGAATTTTTGTACAGAAAAGGAATCAGTTGGTCCATATTCTCGATTGTGACCTTCCTGGGCGGACTGACACTTGCCACACAGTTGAGAGGGCAGACCAGAGCCCGGGTGCCTGGTTTCAAATCTTGACTCCCCACCTCACAGCTGGGGGAGTCTGTGAACCTGTGTCCCTCCCCTTTGGCTGTTTCCTCCCTACAGTGCTAGTGACAGCAGATGGCAGTCATCCTATTTTCTGTTTTGAAGTTGGCCCAACTCTGGAGACAGTCGCATGCAGTGGGCAAAAGTTGAGCTCCCGGGGTTTGGAAACCCTGGCACTGCCCCCGGCAGCTCTCCCACCCTCAGCCAGGGCCTCTACCTTTTGGCCTCAGGATCTTGAAAATCAGTGGAGACTCCAAAGAGCTTTACTTATGTGAATTATGTCTATCAATATTTGCTGTCTCAGAAACTAGCATAGACTTGGGACTAGCAGTTAGCGTAATGGCTATGGTGCTGGACTCCCACGTAGTCGACTGTGGTTTGAGTCTCGGACCCGGTGGCTTAAACTCACGCCGGGTGCGTGTGCATGTGTGACCAAGATCCCAAGAGGAGAATGGAGGAGAAGGGACTGTGGTATGGCCATCCCCCCTGGGGGGTGATTTCTCGCTTTCTGTCTCTCTGTCTCTCTCTGTCTTCCTGGCAAATGCATGCACCTGATAGCAAAAAAAATCTCCAGAAAAAGAAAAAAGAAACTCATGTTGGGCTCCTGTGTGTACATGCCCAAAATCCTAGGAAGAGAATAGAGAAGCTGGGATTGTGGCGTGGCCATTCCCCCTGGGCAGAGGGGGTCTTGCTTTCTGTCTCTCTGTTTCTCGCTGTCTCCCCAGCCAGTGCATACACCCTTATAGTAAACATCTCTAAAGAAAAAATTTAGGACAAAAATGGAAAACCCACACTCTATTAAAAAAATAAGCTTCCCAGAGACAGTAAAAATCCTTTAACTTCTGAACACCACCAGCTTACCCCAAAACTCTACCCTTTTCTCAGACTTACCTTATTCACAGGGATCAGAATACTGAAGAGTTGCCTGTTCATCTGTAAAATGAAATGACACATATTATTACTTTGAAGTCCTCATACATTTGGAGAGAAAATGCTCATGAAAGGCTCTGCATTAGCCCTCTTCAGAGGATCCCTGCGGGTTGTGAGTATATTCAGAATCTTAGGTTCCGTGACTAGCATTTGCATGTTGTGGTAAATTATCAATAACAACAAAAACACTAGGAATACTTAGCCCTTTGAAACCAATGGTCCACATTGTTCTTTTAGTCTGGGGACCTCATCATATAAAATGTCCTTAGTGTAGAAGACTTTTTAAAAATGGCATACAATTAGGGCCAGCAGATGGCATGGTGGTTAATGGCTCTGGATTCTCACATGGTCAACTGTGATTCAAGTCCCATACCTGGTTATATATATATATATTCCTCTCTGGTCAAATTAAAATAAATAAAGTTAAATAAAATAGTTCTTTCAAAACAAATGATCATACAAATGAATTAAAACTTTTAGGTCAGGTAATGTAAATTGTCTTATCTGGCTTGGGAAGGATTTTTTTGTTGTTGTTTTGTTTTGTTTTGTTAACTTTATTTATTTATTTAAATTTGACCAGAGAGGAATGGGGTTGGGGAGGATGAAAAAGGAAGCTACCAGATCTGGGACTCGAACCACAGTTATCCATGTGGGAATACAGGGCCCTTAGGCACCATGCCACCTGCCAGCCCCAGGAAGGAGTATTTGTAAAATCGTGAGAGCTGTGAAGAAAGAGGTGGAGATAGGTGAGGGGATGCGGGTAAGATCTCAGTCCTCACCTGGTAGATAGTAGTCATAGACCCTGATGGTTGCTGGTTTCAGGTTGGTGACCAACACACTCTGGCTGACGGTAACAGTGTAGGTCTGAGTGTTCTTACTGAGCTGTGGGGAAGACAGATAAATCAACACATTAAAACGAAAATGAAAATACCACTCTATGTAATGAAGGTGTTAAAACACCCTTGTTGGGAGGCTAGCAGGTGGCATGGTGGTCAAGGTGCTGGACTCCCACATTGTTGACAACGGTTCAAGCTTCAGACCTGGTGGCTTGCTTTCTCACTCTCTGTCTCTTTCTGGTGAGTACACATGCCTATAGCAAATGAAAAAATAATAATAATGAGAAAATGAAATCGAATAAATAATTCTTTAAGAAACCAAAACACTCTTCCTGTCTTCATGCAAATATTCTGAAACCCTCTACTTATCTCTGCAGTTCTATGCTAGTCTATTTTTTTTTTCAATTTCTTGATTTTATTTTTTTCATGAAATAAAGGTGACAGATAAGAGAGAGCCAGAGCGGGAGAGCGGGGGTGGGGGATGGGGGGGCTACTTTTGACAGGGTCTTCTCACATTGTCGTCCCCTTCCCTCAGCCAGTCAGAATCTTGGGTGTGTGCTCAGTGTGTTTCAGATTGACCAGGAATCCAAACGAGCCATCCGCCATGTGGCTTCCAGCACTGCAGATTAGGACACACCATTGTGCCACCACAGCTGGGTCCCTACACCACTCTCAAAGATGGCTTCCTGCTG